CCCCAAAACCCCAAAACCCCAAAACCCCAATTTGTAAAGAAACATTGAAACACTCTTGAAGAATTAACTTGAAAACTAAAAGATTACGTCTTTACCAAAGTAGAGATTCTATCTAAATTGGCTTATCTCTTGAACTTGGAGTCAAGCATGACTCTCCAGATATTCTCTTTGATTAGTAAGTCGTTCTTCTTCTGTAAGGAGTATGCCTTATAAATTTTTGCGACGGATTTCGGAACTAGCTCCCATTCATAAGCATAAAGGTACTTCATAAAGACGCATTGGACCATGAAGAAGATTGTCTCACCTAGATAGATCTTGTAGCTAGGTCCACACCAGTTGTAGAATGTTTCCTATACGATTAGACTTTCTCTGGAATATGGCTTTCTTACCAAAGATCTTGAGAAGAACAGCAAGGAGATCATCATTCTCCTATTGAAGGTGTCCATTGCAAGGGTTGATGCTGATACGGCTAATGAGTTAGCTGTAAAGGACTTACTTCCTGCAACAATTGAATTAAACTTTTCGTTCTTAATGATCCTCCTTAGAGTGCAAAGAACTATTTTGTACGAGATATTAAAGATAATAACGAAGAGGATGAACCTTCCTGAATCTAGGATTGATTTAGCAGAGAATAATGCATTGAGTAATGTTTTTGGTCTCATAAGTCCTGCCAAAAGGTTGATTGAATATTTGGTAGCAAATCCTAGCATAAAGCTCTTGACTGCTCCTTTGACAACATTATCTATACATCCTCCTTTATGCTTGCATTGCTTAGTCCTACTGTCGAGAATTCTTTTAAGAAGAGTTTGTGACTCTTTCTTAATAGTATCTTCGACTATAATTAGGTTAGGACTTTCTGTAAATTTAATCATTAAGGAAGGTAAATATTTGATTTAATTAGAAAAATTAATCAAATAGAAATAAGAGCAATAAATGGGATCCACTTGTATTCCTCATTTTTCCGATTATGTTTGTTGAGTTTAAAAACACATCATTGACATTTAATCTTTTAGATAAAATCTCAAATTAATAGGCAAAATAACCAAGCATATGAATAACTCAGTTGCTTATTAGTATAAATACATACTGTCTTCAATTGATTCTGTGCTCTTTCTTCTTGCTTTCTCACTTATTTCTTTAAAAGAAGAAGCCTGCTGGCTTGCATTTTCTTTTTCCATATCATTTTCTTTTGATAATGTGTCCATAGTTATTAAATATTATTGGCTCAAAAATACTCCCAATATAGGGGTTTTGGGGTTTTGGGGTTTTGGGG